TAGCTTCTGATGAGAAATCTGTAGTCTATAGTCATTTGAATATTTGTCTCTCACTATGTAGTCTGGCTGCTTTTAAGATTCTTTTTTCTTTGTCTTTAGTTTTTGGCTTTCAGTTTTGTTATGATGTGTCTGAGCATAAGTTGTTTTATATTTATACCATTTGGGATTTACTGAAATTCTCTTTTGTTTAGATTTTTCTATTTTTAACTGACACATAAAAACATAAGGGTTGGGATATAGTTTAGTGGTATAGTGTTTAGTTAGTGTGTGTAGGGCTTTGGGTTGAATCCCAGCATTGTCCAAAAAAAGGGGCATTAAAAAGCATATATGTTAGTGTGGTGCCATGAGATATTTCAATATGTGTACATTGTGTAATGGTTAAATTAGGTTTAACAGACCTATTTCCTTGACTATTTATCATTTCTTTATGGTAAGAACTTTTAAAATCCTTTCCTTGTAGCTTTTTGAAATATATAATTCGTGATCATTATATATAATCACCCTACTCTGCCATAGCATGAGATCCTTTTTTTGGTAGTAGTGGTGGGGCTAGGCAAACACTTTACCACTGAGCTACGTCCCCAGTCCAAGATGATGCTTGGATCTACAGATTTTTATCTTTTGTCCACTGTGGGAAGTTTCTATTTTTGGCCTATAGTTCCCATGTCTGTATAGTTTTCAAAGCTATCTTTCACTCATTTGTGCCACCTAGTGGCCAGACCTGGCAGCCACTGGCCCCTGCCCAGAGATCAATTCTCAGCGCCTTGGTTTGTTGTTTACAGACAGATCTGAATCCTGTGCTGTTCAGGGCTGGGGCCAGGCACTCATAAAGTTCTTTCTGAGGTACTTTTCCTTGGTGCCTTTCTCCCTGTAATCTCCCTGGTACATTCTCACCGTGAGGGCCCACCTGGTGTTTTGACCAAGAGGTGGGTTTTTATCTCCCTCCTGTACTGAACACTTCCTCTTACTACTTTTACCTCTTCACCTGAGCAGCCAGAGGGTTGAGAGAAGAGAGGGTGGAGAAGGAAGGAAGGAAGGTGGAAAGCAACAGCAGTATCCTCAATGCTCTTATCTCAAATTTTGGTTGCCTCTGCTACCCTGTCTGTTGTCAGCCACAGAGAAGATTGCTTGGAGCCTGGGGCAGGAGACACCAAGGGAAGAGGGAAGAGAAGCAAGTACAGATTCGCTTTGTACTTTTTTTTTTTTTTTGGATACATATTCTTGGTGTGTTGCCTAGGCTGGCCTTGAACTCATAATCCTCCTGCGTCAGCCTCCTGGGTAGCTGGGATTGCAGGCATTCACCACAGTGCTCCTGGCATACAGTTCTGAGTATCTGTGCTGCTGAGCTGCCGTTGCTGCTACCTTGGGATTGCCTGGAAACTCAGGCCTGGGAGAATGAAAAAATCTAGAAAGAAAACATGGGGATTTCCTTACTCAGTTCTGTAGAAACCCTTGTCACCTGCTCCTCAGACTACAAGGAATGGGGTTCTCTTGCAGCTTTCTGCTTAATGTCCAGTGTAAGTCTGGTTTTGGATTTCAGGTTGTTTCTGAGTCTAGGCCAGGAGATACCACAGAAAATAAAATAGGAAGTGACCTCCAGTTTGGCGGCACTTAATGTCTTGCCTGCCTGCCAGCTCATTTTTCAGAGTCCTCCATTAGCTTTCCCCTGAATTGTATGTAGAAGTCTCAGTTGTAGTCAGTGGGAGGCACAGAGTGGGGTGTACTTACCAGTAGCTTTCATCAGTAGGACCACTGGAGAAGAGTTCAAGTAGAGGATTACTTAGAGAAAATCTTTCTTTTCTTTCTTTTTTTTTTTGGTCCCCGGGATTGGACTTAGGACCTTGTGCTTTCGAGGCAGGCATAGTGTCACTGAGCTAAATCTCCTGCCCTACTTAGAGAAAATCTTCAACCAAGGGATGGAAAAAGACAGTAAAGAATGCAAGAAAGCTACATCTTCCTTTTTTCTGTTTCTTTGTCACCAAAAACTTTCCTCAAACCAGCTGTCTAGTATGCTTTCCACATCTTGTCTTGATTTTAAAAGTTAGACATTTAGGCATGGTTTTTTATTTTACTTGTTTATTTTTTAAAATTAATTTTATTGGCACACTTTTTTTTCCCTGTATCAGGGATCGAACACAGGACCTTGCACTTGCCAGGCAGGTGTGGCACCACTGAGCAAAATCCCTGGCCCAGCACACTTTCGATATACATAATAATCACATTTATCATAGGGAATTTGTACCTGCACATAGTATATCTTGATTCTTATTTTTTCCCCCATTCACCTCCCTTTCCTGGACATGATTTTTATTTTTATTTTTATTTTTTGGAGACAGGGTCTCACTGTGCAGCTCAGGCTGGCCTTGATCTTGCAGCAGTGATCCTCCTGTTTGAGCCTCCCAAGTGCTGGGATTACAGGCGTGCACCACCATGCTCAGCAAAAAGTATAGATTTTGAAAGTAAATTTTCAACATTAGTTTTTGAAGTACCAAAGATTTTGAAGTGCCAAGTTTTTGATGTGTTGTCTGGACATTTTGACCAAACATCACACTGAGTAAAATTTGTAGGTATTATTAATGATTTTTTTTTGAAGCAAAACCTTCATTGGTACATTTTAGATATACATAATGTTAACATTCATCATAGGGAATTTACCTGTATATGATATATCTTGCTTCTTTTTTTCCTATTCCCCCTTCCTTTCGGCCTTTCTTCCCCTCCTTTGTTTTTTTCTTTTTTATTTTATTTATTTTTTTGGTACTGGGGATCAAACTCGGGACCTTGCACTTGGGTGGCAGGCGCCGGAACCACTGAGCTAAATCCCTGGCCCTTACCCTCCTTTTATTAATGATCTTTATTAGCTTGAGTTTTAAGGTAGATATTTCTTAAATGTGTGTATGTGTGTCCCCTGTACTGGGGATCAAACTCAGGACCTCGTGCTTACGAGGCAGGCGTGGTGCCACTACACTAAATCCCTGGCCCTTAAATGTGTTTCTTTAACCAAGTGTTCATTATTAGTGTAACATCTCATATATAGCCAACAACTTAATTAGGCTGTATAAAGATGCCAATATTTATTATAGTTTTGTTTTGGTTTTTTGAGACAAGGTCTCTCTAGTATTCCAGGCTGGTCTCGAACTCATAGCAATTCTCCTGTCTCAGCCTCCTGAGTGTTGAAATTACAGGTGTGCTCCACCACTTCCTCCTTCAGCAATATTTATTATGATTCCTGAGTTTTTCTCATTGTATTTATATCCCTGCTCATTCCAGAAAGTCATTTCACAAACAAGGTTATCCAAATAGCCAGTGAAAAGATACTCAATCTCATTAGACAACAAGGAAGTGCAAAACCACCGTGCAGTACCCCAAAAATAGCTAAAATGAAAAACACAGAAAATATCAGTCATTGGCAAGAATATAAGGTAACTGAACTCTCATGTTACTGGTGAGAGTCTTAAATTGTTACAACCACTTTAGAAACTGTTTGGCAGTATCTGCTAAAACTAGTGCTAAATGTGAAGATCCTAAACCAGCTATTTCATTTCTTGGTATTAATAAACAGAAATGAATATGTACGTCCACCAAAAACCATGCACATCGGCTGTGGTAGAGCACTCACCCAGCATTGTGCAAGGCCTGGGTTCAAAAGGACTGCCAAAAAAGGGTACACAAATGTGTGCCCTATTGATATCAGGCAAACACTGGAACCTCCCCAAATGCACATCAGCTGTGGAATAGATTTATAAATTGTGTATAGTCGCATAATGGAATGGCATATAGTGGTGAGAATGAGCATAGTACAACTACATGTGACAGTGAATGAGCCTCACAAGGATGATACTGAATAAGGCAAGTTTCTGTCTTCATCTAGATGTGGGTTACCTGGTTCTGTTCACATTGAAAATTTATGCAGGGGCTGGAGGGGTTTATCAGAGTTAGTGCACTTGCCTAGCATGCATAAGACACTGGATTTGATCCCTAGCTCTGGAAAAAGTATAAAAGAAATTTTATCCAGCTTACACTTAGCACTTGTGTATTTCTTTTCTTTCTTCTTTTTGTTTTGAGATAGGGTATTGCTGTGTAGCCCAGGCTGGCCTCGAACTCATGGTGATCCTCCTGTCTCAGCCTCCCAAGTGCTAGAATTACAGGTGTGTGCCACCACACCCGGCTACTTATACATTTTTCTGTATGTATGTGATATACTTCAGTAAAATGTTTACTAAATGAATTAAGTCTTGATGTTTTTGTTTGCTTATTTTTAGTATATCTGTAACCAGCCCCTTACCAAACTCATTAAGTGAAGTAGTTTTTTGGTTAATTCTCTTGGATATGACAGGTACATGATCCTTTTATCAGAAAACTAGGGTATTTGACAGTTATTTTGTTGTTGATTTTTTTGTGTGTGCTGGATATTGAACACAGGGCCTCTGCATTGCATGCTAAGCACACAGTCTACCATTGAACTACACCCCAGCCCCAGGAGAATAATCTTGGGATACTACAAATACACCCATAAAATTGCTTTTTGCCAGGCATGGTGGTGTTATTTGCCTGTAATCTCAGCACTCAGGAAGGAGGCTAAGGCAGGAGGATGGCCACAAGTTTAAGGCCAGCCTGGGCTACATAGTGAGACCCTGTCTCAAAAACAAAACAAAACAAAATTTTGATTCTTTAAGCAGCCAAAATATCTTTAAAAAATAAAATAAAATAAAAAGTGAGCCCTGTTCCATACAGAGCTTTCTAAAGGGGCCATCTTGTCCCTCTGTGGGTTCATTGTTACCTGTGTAGTGTGAGAGAGCAGAGGGTGGGACAAATGGGCTCCGTGTTGACTTTTTCATATGTGTGACCTTTTACATTACATGATATATATGCATATAATATATATAAAATGCATGGGGATGTAGGTAAATACTAGTTGTATAACATAATTCTGTTTTTCCCTCCCCACCCCTTCGTTTTGTTTTAGGGTTTTGTTGTTGTTTGTGTATTTGTTTTTGCAGATCTTTTCACAGATGCTGCTGAGACTGAAAAAATGGCCACAAGTCTTGAAGATTCTGAAGGAGTTTATTTTGTTCCATCTTTTAGCGGATTACAGGTATTCTTCTAAAAGTTAATGGCATTCTCCTCCTACCACACACAGAATTATATATCTACCATGCTGTCACTTGAAAATTTGAGAGGCGCAGAACAGAATTAAGATGAAAGGTGCATCCTAGGTTGAGAAGTTGTGCTGACCTGGGCCGGGGATAGCTCACTGGTTCCGCCACCTGCCTCGCAAGCACAAGGTCCCGAGTTCGATCCCTGGTACAGAAAAAAAAGTTGTGCTGACCTAGCATGAATTTCATAAGAACAGAATGTTCCTTACTTGTGCTTCTGCTGGCTTGGCTTGTGCTTACAGAATTCAGCTGGCTGCTGCTTAGAACTATTTCTGTGGAACCTCACAGTTGGCAGGGTTGTCAAGAACTTCTGCATAACACCTGGGATTACTATAGTATGACTAAAAATAGCCATTCCCCAATGGGGGAAAATATATCAGTAAATTGGCATTCTTTACTTACAGTGTACCATTAAGAATTAGAAAAATAATATCAAGGTATACACACTCCCACACTACTACACACACATAATTTTGTATCTATATCTATAGATCTACCTCTAGATCTCTAAATATATAGATTATATATGAATTATATACACACATACACATATATACATATATAGGTATGTACATATGTTATGTCTTTCCAAGTTCACTAACTTTTTTAAAAAATCAACTTTTAAAAAAAATCAACATAGCCGGCGATTTAGCTTAGTGGATTCGCCACCTGCTGTGCAAGCGCAAGCACAAGGACCCAAGTTCGATCCCCGGTACCAAAAAAAAAAAAATCAACATTTCTGCTAGGTGTAGTGGTGCATGCCCATAATCCCAACCCTTGGAAGACTGAGGCAGGAGGATTGCTGTGAGATCAAGTCCAGCCTGGGCTACATAGAGAGTTCAAGACCAGCCTGAGCTATATAGTAATATCCTGTCTCAAAACAAAACAAATCAGCATTTCTTCTTGTTAATTTTTATGGTAGAGTGTTGGGTTACTTTGCCTTTAACTTTGTATTTAATTGAGCGAACTGTGATACTGCCTTTAATTTTAGAATATTGCTACAGAGACTTTTAAAAACCTTTTGAGGGCTGGGGATTTAGCTCAGTGGTTCTGCCGCCTGCCTCGCAAGCGCAAGGTCCCAAGTTCGATCCCTGGTACCAAAAAAAACCCCAAAAATCTTTTGAAGCATTATAAACAAAATTACTTTTGGGGAAAACTCATACTAGTCCTTTTAAGCCTCCTCTAAATACTTTTTCCCTTTAAAAATAAAGTTTTCTCTTTTTATTTATTTACCACCACCACCCCCACCACCCCCACGGATCAAACTCAGGACCCTTGTGCTTGTGAGGCAGGCATGGCACCACTGAGCTAAATCCCCGGCCCAAGTTTTCTCTTTTTAGAATCCATGTCATTCTCAATCAGATAATGTCCAAAATTTAAAGGCTTGGTAATATAATATAGAAGCTGGTGGAAGAAAAAAATTAAGTCATGGTGCTTTAAATATTTAAATATTAAATATTTAAATATACTATATTTTCAAAAGCAAATTTAAGGGGCTGGGGATTTAGCTCAGTGGTTCTGCCACCTGCCCTGCAAATGCAAGGACCCAAGTTCGATCCCCAGTACCCCCAAA